TAACCTCGCATGGAGGTGCACTGCAATTACAGAAGACAGAGCAGGGGCTCTGAAATCAGACAAGCATCTGAACACTGGCTACATCACATATTAACCATGATCACTGATAACTTCCTTGAGTTTTTGCATTCACAAAATGAGGACAGGATTGTCATGAAAAATAAATTAGAATGCATCCTGTATACATGCATGCAGATCACTTCAAAGATGTAAAGTCCCTTTCTTTTTTCTCACGTCCTTATGTGTCTAACAGTCCAAAGGGGTTTGCCTTACTTTCTTTGATGCTGCTTCTGCAGGGCTGCCTCTGACAACTGTCCCTGAAGGATCAGTTTTCTTTGCTTATCGATATCTCCCTCCATTCGAGCAAAAGCATGAGAGCCAATGAAAGAGAGATCAACTCCCAAGCCGTCATCCTCTTCTTCTTGGTTGTCTGTAACAAAAATACTACTATCAACAGAGAACTTAGGACCAAATTAGACAGTAAATGAAAGAGATTGTGAATGCTGCAGTAGGGATGATTGTGAAGTAACTCAAAAAACTAGGGTTAATGTTATTTTTTGAGAATGACACTGAAATCAGACTTAGGCATTTGTGAAATTGAAATAATGAAAGAAACTGCCTGTCCATGTGTGACAGAAGTTTTAGGAATATGTGACATCAAATAACCCTAGAAAGAAAAGAGTAGAATGTGATCATATGCAAACTGACAAAGTAATTAGTTTGTATCTGGATTTAAAGATGGCTCATCACACAACATCTAACAAAAGAGAAACATAAAGAACAAACGCTTGGGAGTACTTATACATTACTGCTTAAGGGGAGCATTTGACTGATTGGCATATAAACTCCAGCCAGGTAACGCTCCAAGGAAGAGGAACGCACCAGGATCGCAGGGTATGGTCCACAGTCACTAAGAGACATTTCGAGTATAATTTAGTATCTTGGTTTTCTACACTGGTCATACTAACACAATCATTTTGGTCTATGAGAGTTACAGTTCTCACTACAAGTTAGTAAGCAAACTTTCTGATCTATCCATATGATCATTGTCAGTTTGGCTAGTGGGAGCCAGTCTCTTAGGAATGGATCATCTCCTAGTGTGGTGGCTACCTCCTTACTAGACCTGTGGAAAATAAAACAAAAAATGAACCTTGTACCACGGGGAGCTGCCCAAGGCAATGCCACCAATTGGATCCCAGCCTAGCGGACCATCAGCTGGGACTTCCCCACATCTGCTTCGCTGCTCTTAAAACTATGACGGGCCAACAGCTCAGAAGGACCCGCTTTCACTAAAAATACCCATGAATAAATCTTCCTTCAATCCCTCAAGTAAAGCAGATTTTATATATATATATATTAACAGATTTAATACTCTAATTGAAAATGTTTAAGAACACTAAAGCCTATGTCTCTAAGGTAACAATATTTTCTGAGATGTAAACGTAAATCAAACACTCTTTGAGAATGGTGGGTAGTAGTGAGTTAGTCTCATCTACTGTCCAGCACTGACATCTCACACTGGTTTTGCTGTTCACTAATCCTTATCACATTAAATGCATTTTACGGAGGAAAAATTATATGGTGGTGATCATTTGGTGGTTATAAGCATATGAACAGCTACTTGGTAGGCTGAGGTAGGAGGATCGCTTGAATCCAGGAGTTAAGAACAGCCTGAGCAACAAATGCACTAAGACCCATCTCTAAAAATAAAACCAAACAAACAAACAAAAACCAAACCAAAGATGGGCTGTTTTAAAATTAATTAATAAACAATTTCTCATATGATAAACATTGATGGCTCTAAGCCATGTAAACAAATGGGGTCCTCAACAATTTTTAAGAGTGCAAAGGAGACCTGAGACCAAACAGGACCTAGGTTCCAGGTCCCAGTCATGTGAATGCGCGAGCCCAGTCACTACATTTAACTTATTTTTACTTATTTGTTCATTCATTTATTTTTGTACAGATAGGGTCTCGCTTCATTCATTCATTCGTTCACTCATTCATTTGTCTGTTTACTTTTGCGGAGATGGGGTCCTGCTATTGCCCAGGCTGGTCTTGAACTCCTGGCCTCATGTGAACCTCCTGCCTTGGCCTCCCAAAGTGCTGGAATTACAGGCGTGAGTCATTGAGCCTGGCCAGTCACTTTGTTTAAAGAAAAATGTCTGCCAGGTGATTATTGCACATGGCCAGGTTTAGAAACCACAGAAACTATCATTTGCTTGTGACTGCATTCTTTGGAAAAGTTATTCATTGGCGCCCCCTAGTGGCTAATTTGCTTTTGTTCTTAAAAATAAAATCAGAATAGAGTGAAGATCTGAGACTGAAGAGACACAAAACTTTAATTCTGTAAGGACTCCAGGGATCATTTAGTCAAAATCCCACTTTATCAATGAAGACTGACGGCATTCAGACCTAATTACAACACAGCACGATAAATGCTATATCATGCTTTGGGTAAGTGCAGGGTGTGAAAAAAGCATACAGGAGGCAGCATCTATTCCAGACTTGGGAGGTAAGTTTCCAGAGGCGATTACTTCTGAGCTGAAACCTGGACAAGAACTGAAGGATGAGAGTAGTGCAGCCAAAAGGAATGGCAAGTACAAAAGCTCAAAGGTAAAGCACACCATCATTTGCTCAGTGTTGAAGAGAATGGCAGTGACCAATTTTAAGAGCTTGACAAGTAAGTAACAGGTGCTGTTCTAAGCTCATTACATTATCTCATTTAATGTTCACAACAACCCTATCAGATGTTACCTCCAACCAACCTCATAAGGTAATGGAGAATAGCAATTTATAATTTATTATTTTTTCCTTTTCTTTAGAATTTTTGAAAAGCAGCTAGCTTTACAAGGACTATTAATCTGGAAAAGCTTACCCAAAAGTATTCCTACAAAAGCTGCCTCTGTGTTTTTAAAGAATTTATTCAGAATTGCTTTAGAAAACACCTGAAGAAATGGAATGGGTCAGGTGCATTATAAGGTCTGGCAGAAATAAAACATTTTTAAATTTTATAAAACTGTAGATTATGCTTTAATTGTAACATAGTAAAGTACAAGCTTTGTAACTGCCTTTCCCTTTTCCCCATTTCTACTTTTAGATT